AATCAAAGAACGAGCAAGGATATGATAAAAAGCAATATAAATATTGCGAATATAGATGAAGTGTTAATAAAAGTGGGGATCTGAAAGCGGTCTTGGCCTGGTTATTGGACACAAATGAAGTATAAGAAGTTGTAGTGGCTAATTTTTAACTAAACAAAACTCAAAGAAAATGGTACTAGATTGATCTACTTATATAGGAGCAAAGGGGAGGTGGGAGGACGTCCCAAGGTAGCCTAAACCTAACATAGGTCGTTCAAGGCCCATGTGGCCAAGTGGAGGGGACGCAACATCTTTTGACTTGTAGTTTGCCTCGAATTCTGTTGCGGTATTGGACCATTTTGGTAATATCTCCACACTCCGTATGAATTTGAAAGTGATTCCAATTGTGCTGGAAAGTGCACGAGATAAGCATTCCAACAAAAAAGATTCACCCTATTCAGAGTCTGGATGCAAAAGTTGGAGCAGTTTGGTCTTTGTCTTCTCATGGGTCAAAAGTGATGTGAAAGGACTTCTTGAACATCACCTAATCATTTCATTTTCCTTTATATTCACATGTGGTTTGTACAAGTGTCCCATACACCTGCAATTAGACATGGCACAAATGTCGGTGAAGTATTTTTGTTCTGGATAACATAAATAAATTATTGCATGGTTTGTATTAGAAATCACCTCACAAATATGCATGTATGAAATATTTTTGGTCGTATCCAAGGTAGTCATGTCCTCATCAAATCCAAGGACGAATGTACTGTAAATTGCATGATTCATCCAAGCATAATTTTGAGGATTGCAACATGAATCATCAAATAGTTAAATCGGCCATTGATAAAGGACGATTGAAATTTGTTGAGACACCAAGAGATGGCCAGTCTACTCCAATTGGTCCTGATGGCAAACGGTTTCTGCATTGGCTGCTTCGGGCCAATTCATTTAAACATGAGAAGGTAAAAATTGTGGATAAAGGGGTCAAGCCTTCAAGTAAGGAAGTTGTTCAAGAGCACAATGATAATATTCTTGAGGGCAAAAATTCCATCAAAGTTGCACTGAAGATGCCAAGTACTGGGAGGCAACAAGAAAATCCAAAGATCGAGGCAAGCACAACCAAAGAAAGCAAAGGCCAAGGTAAGCACAGAGGTAAAAAACTAAAAGTCACTTTTGCACAGCTATTGCAAAAATATCAAAAGGTAAGTGAGGAGAAGATTGCTTACCGGCCAAGTAATTCAAAAGCATCAAAATCATCCCCTAGGCGCAAATATGAGGACTAGTATTGGCAAAGGGGAAATTTCAATGCATCATATGCATATCCATATTTTGGGCCGCCAATGCCAATGCCATTGATACCTCCATATGCTAACTTTTATTCATATTTATCATGGGACAGGTATGATTCAAGTGCATATTCTCCATCTTATTTTAAGTCATCTCACAAAGATCATGTAGCTCCAAAAAGGCCCACATTCAATAAACAATCATATGGTAAAGACTACTTCACTTAAAAAGAATCGGTCCGGAGCACAAGAAAGAATAAGGTGGTGGTTGAGAAAGTATATCACGTTAAAAAAGATGGTCGTAAGTGTGCTACTTCAGATTGATCTTAAAGGATAAAGAGTCAATTGAAGTGTTGACATTCGCTACTAAAGACAATGAGATGAGTCAATCAAGTGCCAAATTTGAAGAGAAGAAGTTGAAATTGCACAAGGTAAAACAAGAATTTTCATTACTTCAAAAAAAAAGCCGGGCGCCTAGTCGGTTTATCGTATTAGCAAAAGAAGAATTACTAAAAATTAGTGCACAAGAACTTGAAAGGGGGAACATGGCATGTGTTCCCAAAGGAAGTACTCAAAATAAGAATGATGTGCAAACTTCCGTTGCAAGAAGTGCGACAAAGGTGAACAAGTAAAAGAGTGAAAACTATGAATGACCAAGCCAAAGGTTTCAACATCTTCGGTCCACACATTATCCACATTCTCCAACTATGTCATTGATGCCGATGCCATGGAAATCATCCTCGAGTATGATTGGTTACCTCCCATGGGCTTATTCCGGTCCGTGGATGTAATATAATTTCTTACATTATGAAAGGGTTTTACCTCATCATCATACATTCGATTAGATACAAGTTTGTGATCCAAAGTGTCGAAATACTTGGCTTTTAATTCATTTGTTTATTTCGGCTATACGTGCTTTGGTGAATGAAGTTTACATGGGTCTTATGGTAATGGCCGATATTTATCTATCGTCCTAAGAGTATGTCAAAGCATGGCCGGCGTGGTATCCTAACATCGTCCTTAGTTCGATTGGAGAGCGAGGCAATGTCCGTGTGCATGGAAATTTATACGTATGCCTATATTATGCTTGCATGGAGTTGAGACATTATGACCGATGCCATTCAAAATATGTTGCGTAGACCAATTCATAGCAAAATTGGTGGGTGGTCTTATGCTTTGATTTAATATGATTTGACCTACAAATCTTTCAAATCTACGAGAGGCCAAATCACTATTGGTTCTATTATTGAGCATCAGATTTATGACATGCATAATGTTGATATTAGCCTTGTCTCTCTAGTACTATGGAGACTATGTTTTGATGGTTGAACTCGTAACAATGGCCAACATGTTGGTGTTGTTTATATATCTCCTTATGGTGCTATTTTGTGAAGCATAATGTCGCTTAAAATGATTTTTGCACAATGATCAAAGCTGAATATGCAATGTTATTTTGAAGATTTTGGTTGCATAGGTGCTACACATATTGAGGCTTTCGGTGATTCGTTATGAGTAGTGCAACAAATATCCAAGGGTTATCAATGTTTTGATGAATCGCTTATAATTTATCTTGTGGTATGTCCAGATGTAAAATTTAACTTGGGCTACTTTAATATTGCTCATATATCTAGACATGACAATTCGAGAGAAAATGAGTTGGCACAGTAAGCATCCGGCTACCATGTCAAACATGGTGTATTGCACATCTATCAATAGCCTATGCTTGTCCTCGCCAACATAGGTAAGGCCAAACTGCAGCTCACCGCTTTGCCCACTAATGAGACTTTTATGCAGGCGAAGCAAGGGTTGAAGGAAATTCATTGTTGATTATTTGCAAGGTCCTAGGGAAGGGTGGACAAGATGGTTCGGTGGATGGCATTGAGATGCATATCTATGGAACTTTATCACCGGATTGTTAACGAAGTTGAGAAGGTTTCATCTAAGTTTGCATCAAAAGGTTCAAACAAGCAATGGACGATATATACTTACCGCCCTAAGAACATATAAATGGCAGATGGAATGTTGACATTGCCCTTAGAGCAAACACGATATAAGTTATTTTTGGCACGCTAGCTTTGCCGAAAAACAAGGGGCATGTGTTGACGCTCAAAAGTGAAACAATAGTAAAAGTTGCAAAGCTATTTCAAGATTAATTCAAACTTATGATTGGAAGTCACCATCGGATGGCTCTTTTCGAGAAGATCAAGATGGATATGAAGATGGTCTAAAGAGGAGATCGGATGCAAAAGTTATGACAAATTCAGATATGCTCGTCTTGACAGCAGATTAAAGAATGGCATGAAACCTAAATAAGATGGCCTCAAATGAAAAGGATTTCAACATGAAAGTTGTTCATCTCGCCGGAACGGGCGATTTTGATATATAAGTTGTCTTAATCCAAGATCGTATGCAAAAGTTAGAAGCGAAACTGTACGCTTCTGCAGTAGAGGGCCGGACCATCCGGAGGCAATCATCTGGGTTCCTTACTTTTCTATTGCGGACTTCAGAAAACAGTTCAAAAACCCCTCAAGATGTCCTCAAATTGAAAAAGGTTCAACATGGAAGCTTCTCGTCTCGTCGAAACGGTTAAAATTACTTTTGGGCTCATTTCCATCCAAGGTCGTTTACCGCCTCAAAAGTGACCCGCAAGGTGTAGCCAGCTTTTAAACTGAACAATTTTGAGAAGTTGGGATGTCGAGTTGGACCCAAACTAGGGTTTTGTACTCCCTCCGTTTCCTTTTACTTCGCGTTTAAGTTTTGGTCAAAGTCAAACTACACAAAGTTTGACCAAATTTATATTAAAAAATATAAATATCTACAATACTAAAATTATATAATATGAATACATCAAAAAAAATTATATAATATGAAAATCCATTTCATGGTGCATCTGAAAATATTGATTTTGTATTGTAAATGTTGATATTTTTTAATATAAAGTTAGTCAAAATTTATCAAGCTTGACTTTGACCAAACCTTATATGCAGACTAAAAAGAAATGAAGGGAGTACGTGAATCTAAACATTTCCTTGCACGGGAAGTCCAGCCGCCTCTTATACACATGACAGGTGACGGGCGATCAAGCCGATCTAGGGAAGCCCATAGAGCCCTGGGTCCAGTGACACTGTGTGCAAACAAGCACGGCAATGAGCAGCGGTTGATAGGAGGGCGGGGCGGCAAGGCTGGCACAGGAGCGCCGGCGGCCACAATGACTAGCGGTCCAAACGGTGGTCCATGGAGGTGGTTGGGGAAGATGGCGGCTGGAGGTTGAAGAAATTCAGAAGGTTTAAGAAAGGATCGGGCTGTTCAATTTGCATCGGACAGCTGGAATGAACACAAATTACCAAGTCGACTTACACCTAGCCACTTCCTTCTAGAAAACACCTGCCCAATTCATACTTCCAATTCCGTGAACCGCATCTATAGCTCTTCAGTAATAGCACTAGCATGTTAAGTAAGTCCTAACAAATCACAACCAGTTGCAACACATTACAGTTATGAGCTCTGCATTTCTTTTCTTTGCAGGTCAAAAGGGCGTGCATATCGTTCAACTACAAGTATTCCACAAGGCTAAACGGTCCTTGCTTGAAAGCAACGTCAAGGCAATTCAAAAGGGGTCCTACTATTACATCCTTTTTTGATCCTCATGCGCCGAAGGGCTTCAAGGAAATCCAAACCTCCATACAGGATTACAAAACAACCATCATTCCTTCAAATTTACAAGAGATGATACTATATTTCTAACTGGTCCTTGCTCGGAGCAGAATCAAGGTGATTTCGAATCAACCTTTGATCCATGATCATGTTCGGAATCTGCAGAAGAATAGCTGATCGCTCAGTCCAGGGCTCACCAAATATATAAAAGAAGATGATGTGTGCAACGATTTGAGTACCTTTTCACCAAAGAAAATCTTTGTGTTATTGGCAATTGATTCAATAAACCTCAGCTCAAGATACTCAGGTGTAAGTTTTAGTTTGTTAGCCTCTGCTTCCTTCGTAATCCTAGACAGACCAGACCAAATGCAGCAAGTTAACAAGCATGCACAAGCAGGATAAATGAAGAAACAATAATGCTTGTCATGCCTGTAATAGTTTGCATCTGCAAGGGCTCTCTCTCGGGCAAGAAACATTTCATTATCAATCTGCTGCTGCCTTTTGGAACTGTCCTTTTCCGTTAGCATCTGCTGCATGAGGATCTTGCTCACTAGTGCATTCTTTTCTGCTTCAGATAATGCGATCTTCTTCTGAGTTTCTGCCTCCTTTTCTGCCACCTTTTGCCTTTCGATGGCAATTAGCGGATTAAAGATACTATATATAAGTAAACAAAAGATAAGTATAGAGAAAACATTCTCCAGACGTTAATAGTTACACAAACAGGGATTTGTCATCATCATATTAGAACCTGTAACATTAAATCAACATAAGTAACCATTCCTGCAAGCAAGAGTCATGCCTATATCAGAAAAAACATATACTCCCTCTGATCCAAAATATAAGGTGTACTGATTTTTTAACTAGTCAATCTTCTCTAACTTTGACCAAGTTTATGGAGAAAAATATCAATGTCTTCGAAACCATATCATTATCATTAGATTCATCATGAAATATATTTTCATTTTTATTTATGTAAAATTGTAGGTGTTGATATATTTTGCTATAAACTTGGTCAAAATAGAAAACCTTTGACTTTTCAATAAACTACTACACCTTATAATTTCCAACGGAGGGACTAATAATTAACTGATCTAGGATCTTTAGCAATGGGGGTGCCACAGTTCACAAGTACAATGTATGAACATAACTTCACTACATATGTTCAAAATTTGTGAAAATTACACTAGGAATAGTATAATTTAGTGTAATGATCATCACAATTCCAACCAATAGCCCCAAAATAGGCTTTATGTTGTAGACATCTACTATTAGGTAAAGTATATGGTATAAATTGTTTTGAATTTTGGAGGGGGTGCCATGGGAACCCCTCTAGACCGTCCCAGGACTCAAAGTTGCTGCTGTCCCAGATATATTTCTGTATCATGATTTGGAAAAAAGCTCGGTGAGGGAGAACCTAGCGACAATTGGTTGGTTAGAGGCGCGGTGCGCACCCAGTGTGCTCGTGGTTGTCTTGCTAAAAATGCCATGGGTGCTAGTGCCTGTTGGTCGAGACTTGAAAAAGGCTCGATGATCTAATAAAACATTACTGCCTTTTCATGACGGAATGAGATAGGGGTCAGAACTTAAAACATTGATAACAAGCCCTACTAATACTAGGAATATGTGCATTCATAAAGCAGCTTGTGAAGTTGCAAAATTTTAGTTTACAAAGTAAAATAGTTGTAATTTCTATTACTACACAGTTATATGCAACATGAACAATCCATTGTCAATCGGGATGACTTTGAAAAATCAATCAGAGCAATTAACTAGGTGTTCTAACTTTGTTAGCCACAATAGCTTATTGAACAAGGTTTAATGCATGATATGTATGCTGCACAAACAATAGCATCTCAAGAACTGAGCATTGTATAAATATAAACTTCGCATGGACACAAGTGTCAGATGATTTGGTCACATGAAGTGCATATACCTTTGTACGCTCCTCCTCCATAAGTTCAAAATTTCTCCTAATACTAACAGGTATGTTTGGCTTTGTAACACGAACACTGATAATCTCAATTCCAGGAGCATAGCGCGTGCAGTCCCTTTGGATAGCTTCTTTCATGGTCTCATCAATCTGACATTTTGGCAGGACAGGTGAACCAGTGATAAAGGTATAAGGTTAATATATTGGACAGCTAAATGTAAGAAGGGAAAATATCAGGTGAAAAATGTTAATTCGCTATTGAACTCATAGATTTCAAAATATTCTCAAAAGAATACTATGTATTGGGAGAATATTTTCTATATCTATACAAATTTCAAGGATACTTAGCCGAATAGTGGAACCACTATATCAGTAATTAATTGTCTTCTTGTGTCTCACTGGTGTGTTTCAGAAGGTTGCAGAAATGTAGAATATAACATGCACCTACATCTCATAATCATTTCACACCAAAGAGTTCTGCATATGCTTTACAGTGAGTTTTCACCCATTTGAATTTTCACTGCACATTTTGCCATGCAAGAAAGAACCAAAAGTGGATTAGATGAAAAGGATTTACCAACCTGATCGAACATGTCAATGTAAACTTGCTGCAAAGTATGAGCACTGCAGAACTGGTTTATCTCGTGATGAATTTTGTCATATATCCATGTCTTATCATAATGCACACCATAATTGAGCAGGGTGTCATAAACAAAGTCTTTATTGAGACGATTGACAACCTACAGATCAACCAGTGGATTAACCAAAACAGAAACAAGCAAATAAACTTTGTAGAGCAGAGTTATAACTTATAATAGAAACGATATTACTAATACCTCTATCTTGTCAAAGCTGATCATGACACCGCCTTTCGTTCCACAAGGAATACCTTTGACCTGGTTTAGCAAAATAAGACGCATAAACATATTTGTATCACAAACTCAACTGGCAAAGAAATACGCCACTCTTTCAGTTGGTACCTCAAAAGTTTGAAATAAGCAGACATGATCAGTAAATTAACAACAATTGATTGAAAAAGAAAGGTAAACTAACTAAGATAAGATTGTAGTGAAGCCATAGCTTCATAAATGAAGGCAAAAGAGGGACATTCACTTGCCTGGTCTGTTTGGAGTGTAACCTGTATTGGCTCAAACTGGGTGATGAAAGGCAGCTTCAGGTGATAACCTAGCAACAGAGACGAAATAAGCAAAGAGACACTCAGACAAAAAAGAAAAGAAAAGAAACACTTGGGGAAAAAAGTACCTGGAGTAGTAATGGTTTTCAAAAGAGCACCTCCTCTCCAGTATACCCCAACATGTCCTTCAGGAACTTGATGTAAAATGCTTGATGGAGCTGAGATTGAAACCTGCAAATATTAACCAATACATGAGCTATTTAACAGTAAGCTCCAAATAGAACGCTTAAATAAGAGAAATAATTTATCTACTATGCAGATATCAATATCCCTTTCTTCTTAGTTTATATAAACCAATACACATCCTAAATTGCCTACTTGATAAAACAATGAGCTAAGCATATACTACATAAGAATAGCACATTTAAATAAACATGAACAGGCAGGAGACAACATTTATGTAAAGCTGGTGAAACATCATAAGGGAAATTGCTGTTTTACGATCAGTCCTCTTAATGTCGTTCTGTACTTGTAAACTAGGGTATTGAAATACATAACGAAAGTGCATCTGTTCAAGCTTTTGATAATTTATCTCAAAAACAGATAAATACTTTCTCCGTCCGGAATTAGTTGATGCTCAAACGGATGTAGTGCTAGATACATTCGTTTGAGCATCAACTAATTCCGGACGGACCGAGTATTCGACATTGCTTAGCAAGGGTAGCAAAATATTTGAGTGATTATTACTGTTTTATAACTCCACTGGACCCTGATGAAAAGGGAACGACAACAGAAAGTGGCCTCTTCCTCTGTTGCCTTGATTCCTCACCTCGGAGGTCACATTTGTAATATTGCCATTTTAGGGCAAGGCACAGTAAGCAAGTTGCAGTGCAATACCATCTTTAGATTCTCTTTCACTAAGGTCTGCAAGTGAAGTTCAAATTTAGCTGATCCTATTATTTTCTCTGTATGTATCAGTTCTCATCAAATGTGTGACTATTACTTCTTCAAACTATGCATTTACAAAGTAAATATAATAGATTCATGCTTTCTATCTCATTATAACAAAGTATCATCTATTTCTATTAAAGAAAGGCATACTTTTGACTTTATTGACTTTCTACAACAACAACAAAGCCTTTCAATCCCAAACAAGTTGGGGTAGGCTAGAGTTGAAATCCACAAGATCTCGAAACCTAGTCATGGTTCTGGAACGTGGATAGCTAACTTCCATGCACCCCTGTCCATGGCTAGTTCTTTGGTGATATTCCAGCCCTTCATGTCTCTCTTTACAGACTCCTTCCATGTCAAGTTTCGTCTAACCCGACCTCTCTTGACATTATCAGCACGACTTAATCTTCTGCTATGTGCTGCCGCTTCTGGGGCCTGCATTGTATGTCCACATCATCTCAGACGATGTTGGACAAGCTTCTCTTCAATTGGTGCTACCTCAACTATCATGTAATCATCATTCCGGACCTGATCCTTTCGTGTGTGTGGCCACATATCCATCATCTCAGTATGCGCATCTCTGCTACACCTAACTGTTGGACATGTTGCCTTTTAGTTGGCCAACATTCTGTGCCATACAACATCGCAAGTCGAAGTGATGTCCTATCCAACCTACCTTGTAGCTTTTGTGGCATTCCCTTGTCACTTTATGAACTTTCTCCTTATGATTAATAAGGCATAATCTTACAAATGAGGTACTACTAGTCCTTTCTCACACTGGGCTACCTAAACTTTTATGGTTTTATTAACAAATAGACCAGGAGATCAAAGATAGACTTCTCCTTATAATTAATCACTGTTCAAACTATCAGCCAGTTAATCGGCATATCGGACAGTTCACCATGTCTTGGCCACCTGCTGATATGAAAACCACCTATTCATGGCATTAACCAGGTGGGCTGATTTATCAGATTGAAAAGCCGATTAATTGGCTGTCAGACCAAATAATCAGCTGGGCCGATTAACTGCCTAGGCAATTTGGGGCCAACTTCTCCCACAGCCACCCACGCATTAGGTTAGACAGAGGGTCGATTAACTCGTTGTCCTTTTCCTCACACTCGTGGAGGAGTAGCCGAGGGCACCATCCCCTCACCGAGCAGCCACCGGCAACGTCCTTCACAAAGTAGCAGCAGCAACTAGTTTAGCTGATAGATGGATCGACTAGCCCACAGCTAGCTCAGCTGGAGGCGGATTGTTGTTGTTTGGACAAGGCAACACATATACCAAAGTGGATTCTGGAACATTCAAAGCCACACTACCTCACTCTGTTTGCTGCCTTAGTCCAAACAACAAGAATGTTGTCAGTTGCCACTTTGTGGGAAAAAAAAGGAAAAGGTTGCCTCCCTTGTTACATTACGGTGTACAGTAGCATATTTATCCATTAATTACATTGCATGTTGCTGTGTAGCCTAGGATATATAGATATGGCCGCAGTTAACCTACCAATAAATGGGTTACCAAGAAATTCGGTTAATAGATTGATTCATCGATTAATCCCTAGGGCGCGGGGCAGGCCCCGAACAGTCACCCTATCATTGAGTTCTGGAGCAGCTCTCCGGCTCATGTATCTCAGGCTGCTGGGCAGACCTTGCTCAAAAGGGAGTGAGTGATACAGAGGGGTGGTTCCATGCCTACAGAAACAGAGCGGAGAGAAATAGATAGCTATTACATTAATCCACGTAACTCCAGGCAGGCCAAAAAGGAGGAAGCATGAGAGGCCCCGAGCCCTAATGCGAGGCAGGGTACTCGGGGCGCCACCCCAATCTACCACTTACTGAGTTTAAATGACAAAAGGAGCGGCGAGGCTCGTCACTCCATGCTTCCTGTGCCGGTGTTCCTTCTTCCTTAGTCGGGCAATGCCAATTATGCGACAACATTTGACTCCTCAAAGCCGAGATCATCCCCCCGGCCTCTATGGTTGTTGTCATCGTCGTGGTCGCGGTTGCGGCAAAGTTGTTCCTGATCACGACCTTCGCGCCCGCGGTCTCCTCCATGATCACGAGCACCGCGACCTTCCTCACGCTTCCGGCCGCTGGGGTCATCGCGGTCGCCCTCGTGACGCCCCCGACAATGATCCTCAATGAAGTTATGGACCTCCTGGCAGTTCTCAAGGCCTTGCCCCTTGAGCGATGAAGAGGACACGACTTGCCTGCGCCTTCCTCGGTGGCTTCGACCTTCTCCTTGACGGCCTCCAGCGCGCCCCGCTGCGGCTTGGGGTTCTGTCGCCAGGACAAGCTCGGCCTTCCACTTCTTCGCCTTCTTAGTGGCTAAGATGACGGCATGCGGGGAGACCTTGGGGATCGTGTTGCGAACCTAGCAGCGGAGTAGAAACGTTGAATGAAACTCTGTAGCATCTCCCCCTTCTTTTGCTTGACGGCGTGGATAGTCCATGGCGGGGAGCACGAAGGCGCCCTGGAAGTTGGCCACGGACTGGCCCAAAGGTCGTTGCACAAATCCATGAAGCACGGTGGGAGGTTCATGAGCCAAGACCGGGCAAAGCCCTTCATGACCATGGGGTTGGCCATGACATTCTCGGCGCCCCTGGTCGCATAGATGGCAGTGTTGTATAGCTAGTGGAACTCCGCAAGGTCGACCATCATACTTTTGTGTCAGGTCAGGGCAGAACTTCCCAGCCAGGCAATGTGTGGGAGCTCCAAGGTGAATGCTTGGCGCCCCCCCCCCCCACACACACACACACACACCGTATGGCAAGGGGTTAGATCTTGCGGTTGTGGCTCCTCCACAGATTCCACCGTCAGGGCCAAGGAGGCCTGGTCCTCATCAACTCTCGACGCGCTCCTTCTGTCTCGGAATGACTGCCCGAGTGTCATGAACCATCCCCATCTCGAGGACGACGTCACGTAGATCCCTGGTGCGTGCTGCCACGAAGGTGGTGCCCGAACGATGAGGTCCCACATGCGCCCCTCCTGTCTTGGTAGGTGAGTGACTTAGTGCGGGAGGGGGCGAAGCAACCATCCGCACGGAGCGCGAATGGTCACGCCTCAAAGCGTTGTGAGAGTCCTAGTCGTCAGCGTCCACCAAGTCAGCCACCTCCTGAAGTCGCAGCCCCACGGGGATGTTTTCCTCCAAAGGCACGAGAGGATGCCTAAGAAGTGTGTGTGCGGCGTGCAACGCCGATGCCAGCTACCCTAAGTCCAGCCAGGGCCGGGATAGCTAGTTCCTGTTAGTAGAAGCTTGCTCGCGGATCAAAGCGGCAAGCTTCGATGGGGACCCGCTGGCTCCGCCCAAAAGGGCCTCTTGGCTGGGATGGGCTGAGCAGACCGGAGGCGGCAGCTGCTACCGCTGCTCGTGATCCGACATGGTCAAAGAAGATGGCCCGAAAATGACCTAAAGCCTCAACCCCCTACCTGGTGCGCCAGATGTCGACGGGTGATCGTCAATACCGAAGATCTGGGAGATCCCGTTTTAGAGATTTGGCTAGGGGTCAAATACTTCAAATCACTTTAGATATGGAGGCTTAGTTTATCCAGGTTCAGGCCACCGAGAAGGTGTAACACCATACGTCCTGTGTGTGCATTCTTGCTGAGGTGTGCGTGTGCACACGTGTGCATGTGCGCATGGGCGTGTGACATGTTATTGCACGCCCAGTCCACCTGCCTGCATGGAAGTGTGGCTGCACGTGTGTGTGTGACATGTTGCTGCACGTCCAGTCCACCTGCCCGCATGGAAGTGTGGCTTAAGTCAAAGAGGGTGACGTCCCATCACGTATTGACAAGTGACAGCCTTCAACGTATGAGAGACGTGCGGCGTGCTTCTTCGTCATTGTCATGAGCCTACAGCTTAGGCCATTGTAGAGTCGCCGGGCCTCCCCACTGCATACAATCAACCACAAGACCCTGAGGACACCCCTGCTAGCCCGGAAAACTAGCGAGGAGGTCTTCCCAAGAAGGTGTGCAAGCCTGCGAGCGTGCCCGGGTGGAGTCCCCAAGGGTTCGTTACGCCCGGGCTGCGTGTGTGCATAGGCCCCGAGCACCCAACTCCGGGGCCACGCTGGGCCGAGCTCAGCCCACGCCATGGATCCGAGGGACCCCGTCCCCTGTATCTCTGACAGTGTGGCGCTTACAGGTTTTTACAAAAAATGTCTATTAGTTGCGTTTTTAAAAAAATATTTTCTTAGGTTTTTGTAGAACTGGATTATACTTATCCACAATTTGGTTAGATAACCCAAACAAGTTTTTAGGTGGTTACACCAGATATCA